TTTCTGAGCTCTGAGATGACTTTGTTGATATTTGGCAAAATGGAACTGAAACTGTGCTTAATTAAGAAATGACACTGTCCACCTTGATCACAGAAACTAACATACAGGAGAATCTCTTTAAAAGCCCCATTAGGATATACAGAAAAAAAAGTTATTGAAAAATATCAGTTTATCACTTTCTGCAAACAGGTTTTGTTTAAGAATCAGCAACTGAATTTATTTGACTTTGTTTCTAGAAGCATAAATTGATTCATTTGAAAGGAAAGACATGGCCATACGTCTCTATTTAAAAGAATATACAACACCTTCTGTTTAGAAGCAGAACATTCATATATTTGAGGCTAACAAGCAGCAGTGTAGAATTACCAATATAGTTGTACCTGTAATTTATTAATACCTATCGCTGATGCAAACATGGATATGCCGCCAGAGCATGTTTATCTCTTTGGAAAACCTAAGAATTGGGCAGATAAATGCTCAAAGAAAGGTCAAAGAAAATAGAGGATCAGAGTGAGATAATTAAACAAGGATAGAAGTGAGTCAGTCGGGGCATTGGGGATAAAGGATGAGTATAATGGAAAAGGGAGGACACAAAAGAGGGACAGGGGGGAGCAGAGGTCAAGAGATATAGAAAGGAAAGAACAAATGTTGCAAACAGTGTTGAAAAGTTTTAATGGTAGAGTAAATGATCACTGAGCAGAAAAAAAGGTTCTTTGTGTTCTTTATTTGTTCTTCTGTTGACTTATGTTTCAATGACCAGACAGTGATATTTAAAAAATTGATTTCAAGGTCCTCTTGAAGAAAGTGTCTCTTGCAATAGAACAAGAGAAGGTAAGAAAAGCCTGATCTTATCTCTCTTATTTTAGCGAGACAGCATTTCTTCTAAAACGTGACACTGATGTCTTCAGAAGTACATTATTGTGTGATTAATCAGTCAAATCAAATCAATCAAAGACCAAATAACCAGTCTGCTGCAGGAGCCTTATTAAGTAGAAAACATCCATTTGGATGTGCTGCGCCTTGCTAAACTGTGTTACACTAAACTCAGTCCCTTGTTTCTGAACAAGGGTCACGGTCTGAACTGAGACTGTACCAGGATCCAAAAGAACTTTCAAGTTTTCCACGATAGGACTGTAGAATTGTATTCTGACTACAACCGAATAATGCTGACATGTGATCCTATCAATATCTTTGATGGGTAATTGATATTCTTCATTTGGTAAGAGACCTGAAATGAAATGAAAAGAAAATTTTTGTTTGCTTCCAAGTTTTAGCTTTGGGAAGGATGTCATTCAACCTCAGTTTGTTAGGTCTGTAGAGTTGTAGTGTTCTGTTTTTTTCCCCCCTACCCTCCTCTAGGGGGCAAGATCGGAAGTGGATTCAGCTGGTACCCTCATCAAGAGCAGCCATAAAAAGGAGCAGTTCCATATGGCAGTTGCCAGATGATTTCCTCACTCAGTGTGGTACTGGCCAATCTCAGAGTTTTCATGCATATCTTGTGGATAACAAACCAAGTATATCTGGGCTCCTTGTTTAACCCCTCGACCTTGGATTCTTCTAGCCTTCCTGTTTCTGTTTTGCTCCTCGCTGCTCCCTCCAACTGCTCACCAGTTTATGTGCATTGGAACCACCCGTAAGCTACCTTTCACCTTCCACTGGTCTCCACCAACAACTACCGTCCTAGGGATTCCACCACCAAGGCTGCCGCTGAAGACCAGGACTATTGCCTCCATAATTCTTCTGTTCCCTTGGAAAGAATAAATCATTTGTTGGCTCAGAGCTGTTGTCTAAAGTTGTGGACTGCTTAAGAGTATCCAACTACGGCATGACAGAATCATCTGGCCAATCCAACTCTGCGACACAACTGCAGATTTCCCTGTCGGAGCCAGGCCGCTGGCCCTAGGATTAATGAGGAGGATGCGGCGAGGAAAATATGGAACTTAAGACAAGGGAGAAGGTCTGTTGCCGAGCTTGCAATAGATTTTCGAAACCTAGCTGCCAAATCTGGATGGAATGAACCAGCTCTCAAGGGTGCAATCCAGCATATTCTTAATGACCGACTAAAGGATGAATTGGACTACCGAGATGTCCCTGACTCTCTTGATGAGCTAATTAACCTAGCTATCAAGATTGGCAATCAAGTCCGTGAAAGGACCAGAGATTATAATTTTCCACCTCCTGGTAATTCTCATATTAAACAGCCTGGGCTGCCTGATCCGCAGTTACCCTCCACCTATCCAGAACCGATGCAGATTGGGAGAGCAGGGCTTAGTGCAGAGGAGAGGCAGAGCCGCATGGATGCTGGGTGTTGTCTTTACTGTGGCTTCCCATTACATTTCATCTCTCTCTTTCTGGTCCGCCAAAAACCTGTAGCCCGTCAGTAAATCTGGGGGTGATGGCGAGCAGGACCACCTTTTGTAATAACCTCCGGCTCACTATTACCACCTGCATCACAATTAAGAATCAGACCCATTCTGGTTCTGGTTCAGAATAGAATTTGATCCACCTTGAGCTTGTGAAGTAACTAGGCATCCCTGTTTAACACTTGCCCTCACCCTGCCATGTTACCGCCTTTTATGGCGTCTATTACAGCGCAGACCAGCCCACTCTCCCTCCAAGTTTCTGGAAACGATCAAGAAGTCATCCAGTTTCTATTGTTCCCCATTAGGCAAAGGCAAGGCAAGTTTATTTGTATAGCACGTTTTGTGTACAAGACAATTCAAAGCACTTCACAAAGAATTTAAAAGTAGAAAAACAAGAAAAGAATAAAAATTAGATAAATAAAAAGTGTAGGGTGCAGATAGAACAAATTCAATGTCCATATGCACAGTTAAAGGGAACTGTTATCAGCCTCGATTTAAACATTGTCAGAGTTGGGGCCTGTTTCAGGTCTTCAGGAAGACTGTTCCTGATTTTAGGAGCATGGAACAGTATTAGTCCAGTATTACCCCAAGACTCTTGAGCTGATTTTTAGGTTCCAGAGAAAGTGTCTGAAGGTGACTGATGACACTTTCTCTTAGTTTAAGTGGGCCGCAGACAATGATCTTAGTTTCGTCTGGGTTTAGATTGGGGGAAGTTTTTCTGCATCCACAAACTGATCTGTTCAACACAACGACACAATAAATCTACAGGCCCGTGTTATCCTGCTGTCAGTGATACAAAGATCTGACTGCCATCTGCATAGTTGTGGGAGGATAGAGTATGACTGTGTATTAGCTGTCCCAATATAAGCATGTACAGATTGAACAAAAGGGGTCCCAGGATTGAACTCTGGGGAACCCCACAGGTCAGACCCATTCAGTCTGAGACACAGTTCCTAATTTCAACAAAGTAACACCTGTCCTCGAGGTAGGACTTGAACCACTTTAAAGTCATATCAGAGATTCCCACCCAGTCCTCTAACCTCTGCAATAAAACACACATGGTCCACTGTGTCAAAGGCATTGCTCAGGTCCAGTAGTACTAGGACCAAGACTTTGCCTGCGTCCGAGTTCAGGCGGATGTCATTGGTCACCTTGATCAAAGCTGTATCAGTGCTGTGGTGGGGCCTAAAGCCTGACTGGAAGGCATCAAACACATTGTTATACAGGAGAAAATCAACAAGCTGTTGATATGCAACTTTTTCCAGGACTTTTCCTAAGAATGGCAAGTTTGATATGGGCCGGAAGTTGTTCAGTACTGTGGCATCAAGACTGCTCTTTTTTACTAAATGAGCAAGTTGTGGTAACAAACTGCTCAGCACTGACTTTAGGAATCTAATGGGTAACTCGTCCAGGCAGCCAGGCCTCCATTAGCTCTGTGAGAATAAGCCAAAGGTGGATGTTGGCCATGACTGACTGAAGGTTCAACATTCAGCTTTCCAGGTTCTCCTTTACAAGTAATGCCTTATCAAGTTCCTACAGCATCAATGTATTAAGTATAGATGCTGTGAGAACAATCACTTTTTCAAGCTATCACTGAAGACTTTTTGTTTGGAGCTAGATGTGTTTGTTTTAAGCACCAAATGGACTGGCAGTGCTTCATTCATATTAGCAAGCTTGATAAGTGCAACTGACTCTTTATCCTCCAAATCAAAGAACCGGGTGAATGGTAGAGACAGCAAGATCTTTGGGATGGCCAGCACAATGCCAACTCTACTAAAACGTTTTTTCTTTCTTTTTCTTGGTACGTCAAATGGAGTTGAGGGTCTTCTCCATGCTGTCTACTAGAAAATGCATTTTTTTCCCATCTCATTGGTTTTGACCTCTACTGGTTGCCTGGTAGCACAGGAGAGGAGAGATGGGCGGGGGTTGCCATGGAGAATTTTGTAAGATTGTGGATTTTTGGTCTTGTGGGGTTTTGTGTTTGGTTACTTTCCAATTTTGAGTTTTTGTAATTTTACTATTGGTCTTTGGTGCTGTTACTTTACTGAAGTTTCCTTTTTTTTTATTATTCCTTGGTACTAGTTTCAGTTCATGCCAAGGTTTCTCTTGTTCTCTACTCATTTATTTTCTTGTGTTGTGTTTTCATGACTTTTTCTGTTTCTTGTCCCCTTCTGTTACCTTCTGATTGTTAACCTAACTCTTCTCACCTATGCTTCGTGTTCAACACTGTCTTGATTTACTAATCAGCTTCCAATTTGTAAAAGCCACAGTCATTTTGGGTCAGATCCTTGTCCATTGTCATCTGGTTTTTAATGCTACGTCATCACTAAGTCCATCAGTTGTTGTGCCTTAGTTTGTTGTTCTACTCTGGTCTCTGTTTATGTCTCCTGTGTTTTCCCCCATCATAGAAGAAGAGAAAAAGCTATTTTACAGACACACACACACACACTTGCACAGATGCAGATAAAGGCTACTATGGTGCTGCTGTCATCTTTCCTCTTCTCCTTGTCCCATCTTTCATTTGTTCCCTGTGGAGCTTTTTCTACTCTTCTTCACTCTTTGTCTATTTTCTATCCATGTCCCTCTTCTTTCTTCTCGGTTTTCCTCCCTGTGTGAGTTTCTCTCTCTTGCTGACAGGGTTCAGTAGAGCATATTGTCACTGGCCACAGTAACACTCCAGTAGTCCAGGGAATGCTCACATACACGCATTATAAGTACGTGACTATCACTTTCACCTCCTTGACATTGGCTCTGCCAGAGGGTGTATGTGTGTAACGGAGAGAGGGAGAGAGATATTTTGTGTTTTTTGTTTTCTCTGTGGGTTCAGTACTCTGTAGTTTTTTTTTCAGGGGAAGCTCATTTAAGATAGTGATTTTATCATTATGTAAATTACATCAGGAGACAAGTCTCCTCTGTAGTGATGGCTGTTGTTACAGCATCTGTGTGCGAGTGTTTGTTTTTATGTAAGTGTGTGCTCCAAATGAGTCAGTCAACAGTAATTGTTTCTTGTGAATTTTCTCTTGTCTTGTCCACTGAGAAGAGATGTCAAAGTCTTTAGTAGTCTGTTACTTCTGTGCATCCTCCAGTCCTCTAGTTCTGTGTGGGTGATATTGACATTGTCCCTTTTAATTCAGATAAAAAAGCTGCTTTGTCATTGATGGTCATGATATCAAAATGTATTTCATAATGACATTTTTGGAATTTTCTAGTTTGAACTTAAGCCTTTACCATGTCATTAATATGCATGCCCATTTAAATCTGCCCCTGGCTAATGAACATTTTTAGTAGTAAATATCCTTCAATTACTTACCATCATTATCATTATTGTTTTCATTGGTTAATCATTTAAAAATTAAATGCTTTACACATCATTGCCAGTTTGCTGTACAGGCGCTATGCAGAAATAGTTGCTTTGAAAATTAAATGAGAACTTTTTAATGGCATTAGAAATTCACAAAATCTCCATAGCTCAAACCAAGTGTGCAACTGCAAGTGTGAGCAAGCTTTTCTAAATGTTTCTTGATCTTTAATTTCACAACAAGATTTCTCTTTATCTTAGATAACAACTCAGTGATAGTAGATATTGTTATAGTATAAGAAAACAGTTTGCTAAATAAACTTGAGGGAATAAAAACCATCACAAAAGTTACACCAAGTTTTAAAGCATTTCCATATGTGGAAAAACCAATCAGTTCAGCCTCACTGATAACCAACAGGAAGCAAACATTTCTTTTTTTAGGACTAATCAGGAGTCCTCATTGTACCTCTATTGTCTCTCTGTTTCCCTTACTGATGTCCATTTGCATCCTTGATTCTGTATGATACACGTTCAACTGCCTTCTATGGCAACATTACCTCTAAAAATACCTACATCTGTAACTTATTTGTCTGCTTCTCAGATGACAACTAAATGTCAAGTTGTTTGACCCTTGGGACCAGGAAGGATGGACATGAACTATCTGGTGTTACAATGTACTAACCCTAATATAAACACCCAACTTCTCCCTCTTTGTGAAAACCTGTATCTGGACCTGTGACATACCTCCACATTTCACCGTTGTCAATGTGTTGCATTTGAGTTCTTTGGTGTTCTGGCTCCGACAAACCGCGGCAGCCCAAATCTGATGAGGGTCATCGACTCAGCAGACAGGTCACCAAAAGTCACCAAAAAGGGAGCTACACAAGTGGGAAATTACCGGTGATTTGAAAACTTTTTCTCTGATAACAGGAAATATTCAGGAACATTTTTCTGTTCCCTGCCCTTTCATAGTCCAGCAGACAACAATGTTTGGTCCCGGAATTACCCAACCGCACCAAAAGAACACATCAACAGTGACACATCATCACCTTCACCTAAGCTGTAGATTTAGGAGGTCATGGGGCTTCCTAATAGAGTATTCTTTAACAATTACCCGCTGCCCTTGCTCCTTCCCGAGTGACTCATCCAAAATTTCATTCATTGTTGTTTTGCAAAGAGAGAAAGCTTTAGCCTGGGCAATATCTTTTTTTAAATGGTAGTCCTATTGATTATCGATCCTACCACAGAGGATTTAAAAAGAACTTTCAACCATCCTCTAAGAAAGGGTGACACAGCCAAGAGATTAGTACATCTACACCAATCTAACCAAACTGTTCCGGTCTTTATAACTGAGTTTTGCTTATTGGCCGCTCAGGCAGCTCGGCCTGCTAAAGCCTTATTATTATTATAAATAAATACATTAAGCTAAGGCCGCCATTGGTTTCATTGTCCGTCTTTGCTGGCCAAGTGACTGATAGTGAAGAGATAATAGCAACTATGCTCCAAGAAGTATAATAGTCAATGAAGGCAGACATCTTGTAATACATTCGAGGCTGTTGTTAAGGGACTTCAAAAGGATAGTGCTGCTTTTAAATCAGAGTTAACTACTACAACGGGAGCAATACAACTGGCCATTTCCCTTCAGGAGGAAAGGCTAGCTGCCGTGGGATTAAAGCTAGCAGTGCTGTGGTTGCTCTGGAAGCAACAATGACCACTCTCAAAGGGGAAATTCAAGTGCTTCAGAACAAATGTGAAGTTGGTGAGTGAACAACATACAAATAATCTACACTGAAGAGGGAAAGGAGGGCAGGACATGGACTGCATTTGTTCCAACCCCCTGAAGGACTTGTTGCGTCATGATGTAGAACCTCTTATTGACAGGGTGCACCAAATAGCCCTTACTAAGGCAAACAGGGGCCACCACGCAGGCCACTCAGTCAGAGTCCACTACTTCCATGTTAAAGATCAGAGTCTTTGGTTGGCTTGGGAGAAGGCCACAGAAAACATATTTTACCAGGCTCTACTGCTGGTGAGACGAAAAGAAGGGTTCCATTCAAAGATGTGAGAAAGGCTTTACAGAACATCGCTGGTGCTCGATGTGCCCGCACTCAGGATTACTCGACCGAGTGGAGACAAGATTCCCAGACCCAGAGAAGGCTGTGCAAGTCAAATCAGTATCCCTGTAAAACTAACATATTTTGGAGTTTTTACTACCAAGGTCATCTCCCTTTCTTTCCTTCATGCTTGAATGGCTGGTAACATTTATTCCTGTATTTACTACTAAAGTAGAATGTTTTTTTGTGGTACGCATTTAGTTTTAATGTCTTACAGACAGATTAGGCTTCAAAACACATGGAAGTAGTTATGTTTATCATTTTCTGGAGGTTTGATTATTCAGTTGTAGTTCCAAAGCTAATATTAGACCCCAAGGCGGAGACAGACACGATGGAGGCTTGCTAATTCTCGCAGTCAGAAGGTCTTTATTAAGACACAAACGTAAACCGTCCAGAGCAGAAAAAACAAATTCCTTAGACCAGAGGTACGGCAGGCAAATCAATACTCCGGCACCAAGTCCTGAAACATTTCAGTATATAACACATAGAGGAAATTAACAACATAGGGAACAGGTGCGCAAAAAGGAAACTACAGGCAGGAGAAAAAACCAGTACCGAACAAAAATTTAAGCTGGACGAGGAGCCACAGCCGGGGCTGTGACATTTATACTGGAAAAAAATTACATCCATGTTGGTGGGAGAGAAGAGTGGAAGATTTTTTCTGCTTTTTTTTTTTTTTTTCCCTGTTGTGCTTTGGCCACTCAGTCTCTGCATATTGTTTTGTTTGCACTAAAGTCTAAGTCCTCTCTCAAAGTAACTTTTGCCACCTGGAATGTTAAGGGACAAGTAAGCTCTGAAATGCTCTAAAATGTCTTGGCTACTTTTAGAAGTCTTCACATACATATTGCATGTCTACAAGAGACTCAGTCGTCTCTTTCAGATCATACTAAACTGAGAGAGAGGTTGGTTTCGCATTGTTTTCCTATTCTTGTCAACAACAGAACCAGAGGTGCAGCTATTATTTCACATAAGTGGTTCCTTCACTGCTGCGATGTGATTGCTGATTGAAATCGTTATATATCTTTTAACTAGAAATCTTTATAGTATTTTGGTGATTTTGAAAAATATCTTTCAATGCTGAACCTGGACTCTCACCATTCGATATTTGGAGGGGATTTTAAGACATGTTTAAACATGAACGCTTAACAGATCATCCAACTAAGTCGAGACCAGCAAAGGTTTGAAACAGTTTCCTGAAAAAGTATGTTCACCAAAGTTTCTCCTGAATTGACTCTTTTCTTTAGGTAAAAAACTATTACCACTTGTAAAGGTCTGCACGTACGAAGCAACTATGATGTTTAGATACGAGCAAACTTCTCATCTATACTTCCCAAACTGTTCAATGAGACATATCTCCAGTGCAGTTTGTTTTTAAGCACACATCAGTGTTCATGGCAGTGGTGTGAATCCTCGCTTTGTCTGAGTGCAGACAAGTCACAATCTGTCCTTACACATATTCTTTCTCCTCAGCAAACAGGATTTGTTAAAGGCTGATTTGCATTCTTACGTTGATTTTTCAACACAATTTACCAACCTTCACAGTCCAATACTCCTGAAATCCTGATAGGATGGATTTCATAGAAATTAACTGTCCCAAATGTCTTATATATCTTTTAAAGTATCCATGTCTTCATCCCAAAGTCCTATTTTCAGAAACTGTGATTGTCTCATCATTCCTGTCGAATCACTAACTCCAATCCTGGAAACTATGTGTTATTGACTGTTAAATTAACCAGAGGCTAAATTAAGCCCTGGTCAGAGGAATCTACACAACTCATTCAATTATCACTTTCCTTCAAAACGCTAAGGGCCTAAGTTAGTAGCTTAGTTCAAGACAAGTCTGCTGGTCCATATTTTCTGTTTGTCTGATTTTCAAAACCTTTATTAGGTGAAGACGTGCCATCATTTGCTGTGATTGAGCTAGTGTCTGGAAGCCTGTCCAACATGCTTTTGGACTAAACCGGTCAAAAGCTCCAGATAGCCAATCTTCAATGTGGGACCACAGAAAAGCTTGAAAGAATCTATTAATTAGTCTGAAAAGACACAAGAAAGCGAGAGCTTTGTAAAACTAGAACCTCTTACTGTTCTTTACTAATAGAAACGAATAAGAATAATCTTAGGTTTCCTTTCAGCAATGTAAAAAAGCCAACAGAGTCTGAGTTCTGTTGAACCATGTATTCCTTTAAATCTTATCAGTGAAGCTTTCATGAGCTGTTTTACACACAAAATTCTTTCTGTCAGCTACAAGATAAACAGGTTCTTTCCCACTACTATTACGGAGATATTACCAAGTACAACCAAGTACAAAAGTATCCTTAGAGCCTATTTGCACCTAGAGTTATTCTCTCATGTTGCTTGTTCTGATCTAAGAGCAATAGCTTCTTTCTGAGCCAGTACCAACCAGACTTTTTCCCCTTATGTAACATTACAATCTTGGATTTCATTGTTATTTCTTGAAGACTCAATAAAAAAAAATCTGTTTTTTGTCCATCTGATCTGGCTGTTAGTAATAGCAGTATGGCCTCGGGTGTGGTTACCAGGCAACAGTGCAACCACTGATCAAAAAATATAACCTTGATCCAACTTTTTCTCTATTTCAAAGATTCCAGTTTTTCTCTAAGCTTTTGCAGAAAGTAATTTATAACCAATTGGAAGACTTTTTGGATGAAATGGGGTGCTTGAAATTTTTCAGTTCGGCTTTAAATGCCTTCATGGTACAGAATCCACAACGATGAGGGCTTTCGATGACATCCTATTTGCAACAGATTTGGGGAATCATGCCATTTTAGTTCTCTTAGATTTAACAGCTGCATTCGATACAGTGGACCATAACATTCTGATGTCCCGTTTAGAGCACAGTGTAGGCATCCAGGATAATGCACTAGAGTGGTTCAGATCGTACCACACTGAGACAACCTGTGTTGGGCTATGTGATTCCAGATCATCATCTGTTCCATTGAGTCCCACAGGGCTCGATTCTTGGGCCTTTTCTATATCTTCTGCCCCTAGGCTCAATTTGAAGAAAGCATAAAATTGCTTTCCATTGCTATGCAGATGATACTGAGGTTTATGTGCCCCTAAAGCAGGAAGATTACTTCAGCATGCAAGGTTTAAATGAAGGCCTCCAGGAATGAATAGCCTGGATGGCTTTTAACTTTTTAAATTTCACTGAAAATAAATTATTTTTAGTCCGAATGTCACTGATGGACCTTCTTCTTCATTGGCTGTCTGGCAGATTAGAGAAAACCACAAAAAAACAAAAACAAAGATTTAAAATAAATATTGGTTTTAGACTGCAAGGGCAGGTCAGTGTAGTAGTAAAACTACTACTACAACTTTTCTTACCTGAGGCAATCGACCAAAAGAGATAATATATCGTCAAAGACTGACTTCTAAACAGTAATTGACGTCATTGTGTCTTCTATTGGTGCAAAATACTGCAGAGAATATTACAAGCATTTCAAAACTTTACTTACTACTCTTGACCCTGGAGAGTAA